ATAAATGCGACTTTGTTTAGGAGTAGGGGCAAAGGTTTGAATTTGAACTTGGCTTATACAGCTGGGAGGCGTATCATTTACGGAGTGACCAGTGAAGCCAGGAGCTTCAATTTCGTTGCCTTTTATGGTATCTTTGATTTAGTTCAATTATGACCACATAATAGATTGTTAAAATCACACAAATAGAATGGAGTGACATCAAAGTTCATAAAATCAAAATACATAATAAATTGTTAAGGTCAAATAAATGAAGCACAATAAAATCAAATAAAATCAAACTCCATAAAATAAAAATCCGTAGTAGCTAAAGGGAAACAAAGTTCCAGCTACTCAATCCAATTGGATTAATGTACTAGGACACAATGTCCATGGAAATTTTACTCTTTTTTTTCTCAGCAAAAACCTTTATCTTGAAATCGAAGAAAGTTTTAGGTTTTGCCTTTTTGAAATAAATCAAGAAGCTAGAGGATGAGAAGTTTAAATTACTGAGTCTTATTAAGAATCCATCCACCAACAAAAAAAAAAAAACAAAGTCCCGACATGAAGTAGTACTCCAGAGCACTTATAAGGCATACTAATTTATGGATTACACATAAGGAAAAGTGTTTTTTGCAGGTTATATTTTTAAATATTTTTAAAGATTTATCTAAGAATTTATTTTTTAATTAATACTTTGAAAAATTATTTGTTAAATTAAAAATTCTATTTATATAGATTATTGTGTCAATTTTTAAATTATTTTAATAAGCTTAATTAATTCGTTAATTATAAAAAATGTAACATTGTTAAATGTATGTTAGAAAATGTAGTTTTTTTAATCAAAATGTTTTAAGTGTTAAATAAATATAAAAATTAACATGTATAATTTTTATATAAATAAAATTTTTAATTCAATGGTTGGTTTTTAAAATATTAATTAAAATGTGAGATTTTAGACAAGTTCTCTATGTTTTTTAGAACTACGGCTTATCCTACACTATCATTTATATATAAAGATGCAAATCAAATTAACATAATTAATTGGAAAAAAATTTAAAAAGACTAAACACCAAGATTGTGGTCCCTTCATGTATTTTCCACCAAGAAATTGCAAATGGGTCTCTCCAAATTAGTCTCCACCACTAAAAGATGTGGTCCCTTCTGCAAACGGATTTTTTGTAAACAAATTTATAAGATAAAGAGGGTGAATTCCAAGTGTTGGAAATGGAAACAAGAAAGAATAAAAGTGATATAAGCAAAGTTAAAAAGATTTAAAAAAAAAAAAAAAGATTTTTATCTTTTTAAATTGAGTAGATAAAAAATATAATTTAATGAAATAAAAAGTACTATTTTTATGGCCTTAACGATGTGCTGTGTGGCAACAACAGGAGCCTTTTTGATGGATGATACAATGTCATGTTTGGTTGAGGATAGAAAAAGTTTCCAATCCCAACATTTTCCTCCTGCAATGAATCTCACCTTGTCTTAGAATTTATAGCCCAATTGGCAGATTTATATTATCTTAATGGGCCTAGCCTAGCTTGGTGAGTTAGGTTTGAATAAATCATTTGGTTTGCTAAGGAGTAAGAACTCGACATTAGAAAGACACCATATTTCTTGCTCTTACAATTTTACCATTTAAATTGTCCAATCCCCACTCTAGGAACCATCGAACCCGAGACAACTGGGAACCCTGAAACAGTTGAAGCAGGGCACCTTTATACCCCATTTTGGTAATTGAATTTTGGTGTTTTTCTAGAAAAATCGACATCGCGGTGAAACTGTGTCATTCGTGATGTTTCTTAGCATTGCTATCCAAAATAATTCTATAGGCATATTATTGAATGTCATTAGCTCTTTTCACTCCTTGAGCTCTCTTATACCAGATTGTAGGGAATTTACGTGTACCGCTAATCCAAGCAAATTAATTTTTTTTAATATCAACAACATGATTTTTTTTAAATTTATTATTAGAGTATAAAGGATATTCTTATGCATTACATACAAAAAATTATCTCATAAAATGATATTTCCAGTACAAAACATATCAGTCTCTACTATTACCCAAGCTGATCAATTTTTAAGATGGGGAATTCCTTAGTCTAGGTTACTTTTAATGTTTGCTCTTGGGCCTTGCTATGTATTGTATGTGTGGCGAATATTATTGGGCTTGAATTCTCAACACTAAAGTTTTGTCCTTATTTCACCTCTAATCGATCATTCCTTTGTTTTCTACCAAAATTTAAGAAATAGGATTTTGACGGCCCACGATCAGGATTATGAGAGAAAGAGTGGGCTTTAAAAAAATGGGCCTTATAGCCACACTTGCTTCATCGGGATGACGAGAGAGGGCGGGCTTTAAAAAGTAGGCCTTATGGCAACGCTTGTATGGCCTGGTATACACTTTAAATTAGTTGTTATTTAAAAAAAATTATATAGGAGAGAGATTAAATTCTTAGAATCATTTTGGTGTACCACTTTGTTTGGGAAGTATTACCATTTCATAAATAGAAAAAGAAAATATTTAAAAAATTTTAAATTTTAAAATTTAAAATTATTTCGTTTCAATAATAAGTTTGTATTTAGAAATTATATATCATTAGACTATTATAAGAATTTATTATTAATTAATATTATCAATAAATAATTAACTTATAAACGGACAAAAACATTTTTCCTACTTGTAAGAGGATATTTTAATTGATTAAGAATTTAAAATTTAAATTTTAAAATTAAAAATTTTGAATTTTAAAATAAAATTTAAAAAATTAAAAAAATAAAATTATTATCTTATATTGTATAATTTATTATTTAATGTTATAAAAAAGGAAACTTATTTTTTTTTGGTACAAAGAAAAAAAAAAAAAGAAAGAAAGAAACTTATAACTTATACTATTGTACTTACAAGCATACCATTAAAATTGAAAATCTCTTCCTTTGATTAAAAAGAGATTTACCGTTAGAACAGTTAGATCGTTTGATACTTAAGTTTAAATTAATGATGTAATGTCCTTCATTCCTCGGACAAGGAAGCTTTCTCTTTCCAAAAAAAACGTCATAACTAATTGGTATCATTATGCTCCCAAACCAAGCTAACTAATTATGTCCCATATATTCCCTTTATTCATTTCGAAGAGACAAGAGCGAATGATTTGTTTCTTCTTCTTTATATCATCTTCTTCTAAAAACCAGCAACCCACAGCTTTTAATTTCTCAGAGAATATTTTGTCATCCAATGAATTCCTCTTCTCCCCAAGTGAAGAAGGAGGTGTATTTCTCCGTGAGCAGTTTCACATTCACACATTTTTTCATCATCTCCCGGATCTGCCCCTATCAAAACATTGTATTCCAATCCAACGTATATCATTTTCTCTGTATAGCCTGTGAGATAGCAGAGTATATCTCTGCACATTCAGGGCTCAGGCCCTTTCAGTAAAGACTGTAAAGTTGAACTGGTTCCATTTTTTTTTTTTTTCCCTTCTGTTTCTTCTGTACTTCTCAGTGTGCACTGAGGTCATTCCTTTTAAAAAGACTACTACTCTTCTTTTAAAGCGTGGTTGAGTTATGTGGGCAATTCATTTGTACTAATTTCAAACTTTATTAACACACTTCTCATCTACCATTAAAAGGATTTTATTGATATTTATTAAAATTATTGAAAAATAATATTTTTTTATATAATTATTTTATACAAATTTATATATTATTTAATGATTAATTGTTTTTACACTATTGAGATTGTGATATTATATATATATCAATTATTATTTATTGACGTAAAAAAATTGCATAAAATAATTATTCTCATGTTATTACCTTAGTAAAACTTATGCAACTGCTCTCCATCCTTATATCAAATGTATTAATGTTAAGATTTGTATTGTGTTGGTGATTCTTCACAATTTATTGCCTGCTTCAATTCGCCATTCTTATTATTTATTGGTAATAATAAGTCACAATTATTTTCTACCATCATAGTTGTAAATCTTGTCTACACTGTATCTCAGGTTCCTTTAAAAAGGAATTTGGTAATGAAATTTTTACATGGA